GGCACATGTGTGTGGTGATGGGTTGTAATTAGTATTTGGGTGGTGAACATGATATAATCTATGCAGAAATAGAAGTATAATGGTGTACACCTGAAATTTATACAATGTTATAAACCAATGTTACTGCAATAAACAAAAAATTTAAAAAAAAACAGCTCAGATCGAAGATGTTTCATGGCTTGAAAGAGCAAATGGTAAGACCTAGTATAAGTTTGGGATTGGCACAAGCATTTACTTAAATAACAATAGTGAGACAAAGAACCAAAAAGTAAGAGTATTGCTGTCCAAGAAGGAAGATGACAATGGAGGCTGTTCCTTCTAGGTAGAAAGAAATTAAGGTAATTTTATAGTAACCAAACTTCCTCAGCCAGGACTGGCTTGAGTATAAGGCACTGAAATTGAAATAGATTGACACTGTGTTAAGATGGAACCCCATGAATTATGCTTACCTTTGCTGACGACAGAATAAACATTCTCAGCAAAAAATAAATTTGATTCTGAATTATGATATCAGTTGAAACACACAGAACAGTCTATCATGGTTAGAAATGCTATTATCCATATATATCCATAAAAGTTGACTAAGGATAGTAATATTCTATAAATAACAAAGAAACAGGTATTATTTCCTATGAAATGAACAAACTAGGAAATGGTTTCTAACATTTTTATTTTCACACTAACATGAAGAGATTTTACTAAAACCAACCATGTGAAAGAACCCATGATTTAGAAATAATTAGCATTGCTCTATGGTAATATGAAATGTCCAACTCAAATCTAAAATAAATCTAGGTTTTAAAATTTGAGGTTAAAGCCCAGAATTCACCTAGTACATAGTAGGTGAAAGAAATATTTATTGAATAAACATTTCACTATTCTTACTGTAATATGTCTCAAATGTACTTTATCCTAAAATCAGGCACAAGAGATAAACAATAGTTTATGATTCTATCTACCTTTCTTCTGGTTGTGCTTCCTGTCTTACCTTACATATTTTCATAATTCTAACAGATTCATGTTGAGAGCTCAGACTTATTTTTCTGCATTTCTTGCTACCAATGAAGAAGTTCATTGTTCCAGACTGAAAAGTTTGTGCTAAATATACATAGGTATATTAACAAAGAATAGGAGATACTCTTTGTTTTCAATAAAAAAGTACATTGCTTAGCCCTACAGTTTTCATTAACCAAATGTATGTACATTACAATTAGGAGAGAATTTTGAAAGATATAACTAGAATACAAATGTTCTTCAATAAACATAAGGGTGTTTTTCCCCTGACTGATTTTTTGGCTTATTTCTCTACTTTCAAGGAACAAGAGCTCATTTTCTGGATACTAAAAATGATAGCTCAGTGATTGATGTGATCCAAGGCATTTCTTAGAGCTCTGTAAGGGAAAGGATGTAAAACACCCCAGCAAGTCCCATTATATTCCTACACATAATAATAATATTATAAAATTACACATGTCCACATATTGAAATCAAGCTTCTTGTTCTCAATCTCTAATACATGAATGTGCAAAATACAAGAAATTAATAATGTAAAAACTACGTGGTAGAGTGCAAAGCGCAAGGTTTTGAAATCAGTTGTCTCCAGGTTTGAATTCCAGCTTTGCCAATTTTATCAGCTGTGTTCACAAACAAGTAATCTACCTAAGAGGCTTTTCCTCCAACACTCTCCCTCTCTCTCTGTCTCTGTTTCATCTCTGTCTCTCTCTCTCATCTAGCACATACCCAACATATAAGGTACTCATTAATTGTTAGTTATTATTATTGTGTCCAATATGTAAAAAGATATGAGCCGATATTGAGTAGTATTACAAAAATCATGAAAGAAAGAGACTGCTTTTTCTTTTACTAAGATAAAGCCTTCTACAAACTGAGGATTTTGGCTCTCCATTCATATGTTCATTGAGTTGGTGTTTGTGACTAGTGTGTCCCAGCACAAGTGTTGGTGAGTCTATGTCAGAGCAGCCTAAATCAAAACAGATAAAGGCAGTGCCACACTTGCAGTGAAAGTCTAATAAATATTTGCTGCATTGAGACTTAATAATAAAAGCTAACATTTCTAGAGTGTTTATTTTGTGCCAGGAGTCATTTCAAGTACTTTGTATATTTTAATTCATTTAATCCTCATAATAATTTCATTACTTAGGTACTACTTTTATTCTCATTTTTCAGATGAGGAAACTGAGACACAGAGAGGTTGAGGAACTTACCCAGGGTCACACAGCTAGTAAGAGGGGAGCCAGACTCCTCCCCAGCAGACTCCATACTCTTAATCTATCTACTATTCTGCTTCTCTGAGGGGTGGGGGATGTGGAAGAATCACAGACCTATCTAAACAGTTATTAAAGAGAAAGGGCACTTGTTCATTCTTTTCTCCTTTCATTTATTCAACTCCTCAAAAAGAAAGCCACAGAGAAGACAGCCTGGAAAAGTGAAAATGCCGTGCTTATCTTTCATTCCTACACCCAACAGTTAAAGTGTTAAAGTGACTTAGCCAAATAAAGAACAGATTCCAATGAGCTATTATATTTCTACCCCAACAATTTATACGTGTCACTTCTCTAGAAATTAAAAATAAATGTAAAGCAACTTCAGATTTCCACTTTATAATGATTTTTTAATGAGACCAACAGAAATTCATATGTTAGCGTGAGGGTTTGAGAAAAAGGATTGTTGAAATCTTTTGGCCATGCTTCTCTTGAAATTTAATAGCCAAGAGAGACTGGGAGAAAATATTTGCTGAACATATATCCAACAAAGGACTTGTATCTTGAATCTATAAAGAACTCTTACAATTCAATAATATGAAGACAAACAACTCAATTAAAAAACAGTCAAGGGCCAGCCCCGTGGCTTAGCGGTTAAGTGTGCGTGCTCCGTTGCCAGCGGCCCAGTTCGGATCCCAGGCGCGCACCGACGCACCGCTTCTCCACGTCCCACATACAGCAACTAGAAGGATGTGCAGCTATGACATACAACTATCTACTGGGGCTTTGGGGGAAAAATTAAATAAAATTAAATATGTGCAGTTTATTGAGGGTCAATCATACCTCAATAAAACTGTAACCAAAAAACTACCTTTCTTTCTACTCTTATGTTTGTTCCAAGTATTTAATAAAACATGAAACACAAGAACAGGAGCCGTATTAAAACCTGTTAAGGATAGTTTGTAGTAGAAAACTACCAGAAATAGCCTAAGAGCCATCAATAAAGTTTAATTACAGAACACTGATATAATTCAACCTAACACAGCTATTTTAAAAAAGTAGATTTAGGGTCTGGCACAGTGGTGTATCAGTTAAGTTTGCACGCTCCGCTTCAGTGGCCTGGGGTTCGCAGGTTCAGATCCTACGCGCGGACTGATGCAACACTTGTCAAGCCATGCTGTGGCAGTGTCCCATATAAAGTAGAGGAAGATGGGCACAGAGGTTAGCCCAGGACCAGTCTTTCTCAGCAAAAAGAGGAAGATTGACAATGGATATAAGCTCAGGGCTAATCCTCCTCACCAAAAAAAAAAGTAGACTTATATATGACAGGGAAATGTCCATAACCTGTTAAGTTTAAAAAGCAGGAGACAGAAAATTCATGGGTGATCTCATTTTATTTTTTAAATTATATGTATAGTTTTGCTTTGAAAACCTCAGTAAGTGAAATCCAGGGACAATAAGAAAGGAGTAGTAGTTTTTATTTAAGTGATTTGTTAGTGTATGAATTTTTACAGCAAATATGTATTATTTTTGTAATAACAAATAAAGACATAAAGAAGTTGTTATCATTTGTTCAGAAGCGTAATAGTCCTTCTTCACTCCATCAGAATTCAACCATCTGGGGACTTCTACCCAGAACACGGCTACAAACTAAGAGGAAGCAAAAAAACATCTAGGGGACCCGCCACAATAAGATCGCTGAATCGATGCACTTAGTAAACCTCATTTACTTACCTCATAACTGCTCCCCAGGTCTTCACTAAAAATCTACCATCTAAATACTTCGGAATAAATTTAACAAAAGAAGGGCAAAATGTATCCTCCAAAAGCTACAAAAGATTATTGAAAGAAATTTTTAAAGATCTAAATAGACGGAAAACATTCCATGTTCATATATCAGAAGATTTAACATAGCGAAGATGTTCTACAGACCTGATTCTACAGATTCAATTCAGTCCCTATCAGTGTCCCAGCTGTCTTCTTTGTAGACACTGACAAGCTGATTCTAAAATTCCCATGGGAATGCAAGGGACCTAGAATTGCCAAAACAATTTTGAAAAAGAAGAACAAAGTAGTAGGGCTCACTCTTCCCAATTTCATCAAAAAAGTGAAAAGATAACCTACAGAATAGGAGAAAAAATTTGCAAATAATGTAGCTGAAAACAGACTGTATCAAAAATATATGAAGAATTATTACAACTCAACAATAAAAAGACAACCCAATTAAAAACTAGGCAAAAGAGCTGAATAGATATCTTTCCAAAGAATATACACAAACGGCTAATAGCATATGAAAAGATGCTCAACATCACTAGCCGTCAGGAAAATGCAAATCAAAACCATAATGAGATGCTATTCACACACACTAGGATGGCTATAAGCAAAAAGACAGATAATAGCAAGTGTTGGTAAAGATCTGGAGAAACTGGAACCCTGGCACACTACTGGTGGTTACAATGGTGCAGCCACTTTGGAAAATAGTCTATCAGTGTCTCAAAATGTGAAATATAGAGTTACCATACAACACAGCTATTCCATCCTAGGTATTTGCCCAAAAGAAATGAAAATATATGTCCGTGCAAAAACTTGTATTTAATGTTCACAGCAGCACTACTCGTTAACAGCCAAAAAGTGGAAACAACCCAAATGTTCCCCAACTGATGAATGGATAAACAAAATGTGGTATATCCATACAATGGAATATTATTTTGTTGTAAAAATGAATAAAGTACTGATACATGCTACAACATGGATGAACCTTAAAAACGTTATATTAAGTGAAAGAAGCCAGTCACAAAAGACACATTATATGATTCCATTCATACGAAAGTCCAGAATAGGGAATTTTATAAAAAGAGAAAGTAGCAATGGTTGCTTAGGGCTGGGGGAGGGAGGATAGGTAAATACTGGGGTGATAGCCAAAGGGTATGGGATTTTTTTGAGGTGATGAACATGTCCTAAAATTGACTGTGATGATGGTTGCACATATCTGTAAATATACTAAAAACCACTGAATTATACACTTTAAATGGGTGAATTGTATGATATGTCAATTACAATCAGGCACCATATAATGACGTTTCAGTCAACAATGGACCGCATACACAATAGTGGTCCCATAAGATTAGTACCATATAGCCTAGGTGTATAGTAGGCTGTACCATGTAGGTTTCTGTAAGTACACTCTATGATGTTCCTACGATGATAAAATTGCCTAACGATGCATTTCTCAGAACATATCCCCATCATTAAGCTACACATGACTGTATATCTCAAGCTGTTTAAAAAAAACTACTTTTTTTATTTTAATTTTTTACATATGAGTTTAACAAATTTTTTTTTTACCTGGGGAAGAGGAGATATTATAGATTAAAAGTAAGAAGATATACATAGCCTAGAATCTGATAATAACAGGCAGAGACAGGAACCCAACTTCCCATTCTGGGTCATTGAACATAGCAGCAAAAAGCTTGACAAACCTCAAATTGCCCCGAAGGGAGAGTATTATTTTATTAATGCACACACAGTACTTGGAACTATACTGATAAGCCAAAAATGATATTCTATTTGGTATCCTCTACTAAATAAACCACATAAACAGAGTACATTTTAGAGACAGAATCTTAAAGTACACAGCTCTAAGGGAAGATGCCTCTGAGCCTCCCTTTTCTCATCTGTAAGGATGAGAGTCTTTCCCTCATAGGTGGTTGTGAGGATTACGTGAGATAATGTGTACAACACCCTTGACATAGTCCATGGCACATGGTAAATACTCAATAAATGTGAGTTATCATTATTATGGTATACAGTAACAAAACTATAACAAAGGCCTTGAGCTAATGGAAAGGTAAATTCTATCCTGTCTTTGCTTAAGAAAGTGTGGCAACACAAAACATTTTAGAACTATTTCTATCCCACATGGTTTAAATATTTTTGAAAGATGGTAAACAGTAAAAATTCATCTATCTAGAATGACTTATGTTCTGAAGAGTATACATAACAGATTTTACTTATTGTTTAATTATGAAAATAGGGAAAAGCCATATCATAGGCAGGTTAAGTCATATTTTTGGAGAATATATTTAAGTTAAGGGGAACAATTTGATTCATCAACTCTCCAAATGGTGCAATAAACAACAGGCCGATATATTTTTCGAAGGAGGACATGCTCTCTACAATAATGGTCATGACCATGGAATTTTAATGCTCTGGAATTCCAGGACTCAGTCTTTTAGCCAAGTGTTTTGATACCTGGCTTCACCAATTCTTGATCAAGTTAATTCTTCTTGCTCATAACAGTCACAGGAATCTTAAATGCCCAGATAAAGCAAAACTACATGCTCCCAGGAAGTCATTTATTTTCTTCCATAGCTCTGCTGAGGCTTAAATGAGAAAGCTCAGGGGAACAAAATTCAAAAGCTAAAATGTTTAGGGCCGGCCCCGTGGCTTAGCAGTTAAGTGTGCGCTCTCTGCTACTGGCGGCCCGGGTTCGGATCCCGGGCGCGCACCGACGCACCGCTTCTCCGGCCATGCTGAGGCTGTGTCCCACATACAGCAACTAGAATGATGTGCAGCTATGACATACAACTATCTACTGGGGCTTTGGGGGGAAAAAATAAATAAATAAAATCTTTAAAAAAAAAAAGCTAAAATGTTTAAAATATCACATTGTTCGGCTCTCATTGGTTTCTCCTTCCTTTTTTCCTTTCATCTCTTGTATCCATTATGTTTCTACTGAATCTCATATAATGTCTGAGGCTATGAATCTTTGGATTTCTTAATAAATGTGTGTCATTTTTTCAAATTACTGATACAATCAGGTTTTTAATTCCTTGGCCAGGTAAGAGCTAAATCTTTAATCCCTGAAGGAAGATACATGAAGAATCATCATGTTATTGGATAATTACCCAGGTTCTTTATTTGTCATATAAGAGAGGCCAAATAAAACTGGAACGCCAGGTTTATGGCAAGGAAAGGGGTTTTATTTTGGGTGATGTCAGCCGGGAGATGAGAGCTCTCAAATTTGTCCCATCTCACCCAAAGTTGGGAGGTAAGGGGTTTTAAAGGTTGTGAGGAATGCAGCTGCTTGTAGGGAGGGGGAGTCTGTGGCCTTATTGGTCAGCACTTTCCCACCAGCTTGCCTTTGGCCTTGTGAGGCTGCTTGTAGGGAGGAGGATGGCAGATAAGGGAATTACAGGTGGGTGTCCTTCAATTGTCTCTGTTTCTGTGGTGGATGGTGGATTCTGGCACCAGGAAGCCAAGGAGTTGAGGCCTGAGAAGCTTTAGCTTCTTGATATCAGTTTCCGTGTAACAAACCTCAAAAACTGGTAATTAGCCAAAACATCAGTGTGAGCCCAGCTTGAGGCCATCTGGGCTTTTAACGATTTGTAAAACAACCAATATCTGTATGTAAATGTAACTTAGAGAAACAGGGAAAGAGCATGAGTGCTTTTGGTTTTAACTCCATATATTCTGGGTTTAATGCAGGGGAACTGATATCAGGGCCGGTATCAATCACACATATGTGGGCAAATAAAGCCTGCCCTGTCCAGGATGCTCCTTATGGAAGAAGGAAGAACATCCTCAGGAACAAGATTATCTGCAAAGATCATCATGAAGTTTTTGAAGAAGGTTAAATGGAAGACTTGGATGAAATTCATTATCAGAAAAAGGCGAAAGTTTTCCTGGGTCAGGACTTGTCTCATCAATGAGACAACAGAGGTCCAGGGGAGATCCTGTTGACTTTCTGAGAAAAGGTTTTCCCTGGGGCTTCTTTCAGGTTCAAAGCAACCCATGTGGTACGTGACAGCACAAAGGCTAGCAGCAGCAAGAATGACAATGACAACAGCAACAGCCTGAAAATTGAGCAAACTTTCCATGTTATCAGAGATGAGGCCACAGAAAAGGATTGTGGTAGATTTTACCGGTGATGCCACTTGACTAATTTTATAAGCTGAAGCCGACTCTTGTGTCTAGTGAAAATGTCTGCAAACAGTGCACACGGGGCTTGCTGGCAAAGGTAAGCATGCTATTAAAAGCACATAATGATACCACCAGGTGAAGTCCACTAAGCCAGTCACCTTCATGGTAGTATTTCCCAGAGAACCAAGGAAGCAGGAAGGCTACTGCGTATAAACAGGCACCATACAAAACAGAACTATGACAACTGGAACAGCAGGCGGCCTTAGAGTTGTGAAAATACCGACAGGTCATTAAGAGCATTGCAGATCATTAAAATAATCTAGAAGAAAAAAAACACACAGGATTATATTAGTGTTGTTTATACTGATGAAAATGACCTCTGAATTTTTACTTAATGTGAAATAGCCAAAGCTGATCAGTAAAAAAAAGCTCATTGGTTTCAGAACCAGCAGGGGGCGTTACATGCTGAAATATTACTAATAACAACAGCCAATACTCCCCAAAAAGCCAACGTGCATTCCCTTTGTGTTTAGGCATTGTACAAGTGTTCACATAAATTATTTCATTAAAACCTTCAAACAATCCCATGAAGCAGGTACTACTCTTATCCCTACTTTACAAATGAGGAAGCTGAGGGCCAGAAAAGTTAAGCAACTTACATAGCTAATAAATGAGGAGCCACGGTCTGAGCCAAGGCAGACGGAAAGCACCCCGAGTCTGTGCTTTCAGCCATCATGCTAGACCGCCTCCCCACCAGGCACACAGGCCAGGCCTCTGCAAAGAGCAACAGCCTGTGCATCTACCATGGCATAGCTGCACATAATTTCCTTAGGAAAGACTAAAATGTCAATGTTTGCTATCTCAAAATGGTAAAACTACTTATTAGATCAAGTATGTTGTTGTTGGTAATAAATGAGTAACATTATAAAATATGACAGTTTTTTTGTTTTTGTTTTTTGGTGAAGATCAGCCCTGAGCTAAGATCCATTGCCAATCCGTTTTTTTTGCTGAAGAAGATCAGCCCTGGGCTAACCTCCACGCCCATCTTCCTCTACTTTATATGGGATGCCTCCACAGCATGGCTTGACAAGTGGTGTGTCCATGAGCGCCCTGGATCCAAACCTGTGACCCCGGGGCCGCTGAATCGGAGTGTG